ACATCGCCAACTGGATGCCTTCACTCAACTGGCCTTTCATTTCCCACCACCTCAAACTCAAAGCTCAGGGATGGCAGTTCGCGAAACACAGAGCCCACTTCTACTCCAGATTAGCCACCCACAAACGACTTTTCCGACGCCTTCGACAACGCCAGTACACCCTCAGAGAACCACACCTCTACACTTCCACTAAGCATCACGCCCTCCAACTTCTTCGCAACCTTACCAAACACACCGCAGCCTCCTTTGAGGCAGCTAAACAGCTAAGAAGCGGCCGCCACACGGACCTCGAGGTGTATGCAATCCGGCGTATGGCCGCAAACTTGGAAGAACCTGGCCGCAGCCGAGCTCTTCACATCCTCAACAAAGCCTTGATCTACCGCAACCTCACGCCACCAAAACCAAACACCCCATTGACAGTGCCCTTCTTGGCCCATGACGACTTTACCAAGCACTGCCAACAATGGCTTCGTACTACCATCCAGCAGCACAAGCATTTCACCATTCCCCTCCACCTCCCCTCCCACAGACTGAGAGAAGCCGCCCACAAAACCCTCCGCTCCCACCTGCGCAACCATCGCACATGGGAGGACACCCTCCACTCCCCGCCAGATCCAGCAGACCTCCCCTGTGCATGCGATCACCTTCGCACCCTCCTGCAGGATCCCGATACCCCTACCATCAACGGCCACTACATCCTTACACTTGACCAACTCCAACTCCCTACACACCTCAGCATTTTTCTCAACGCCAATATGAACAGCACCTATTACCCAAGCAAAGCTCGGTACTTCCTCATTTTCAAGACGGCCTACACCAAATGGCTCAAACTACAAGGGCTTCCACCATCCCTAGTTCAACACCTACAGCCTTTCCTTGAGCACCAATGGCGCCTTCACAACATACACCTAAAGCAGCAACCCCGTTTTACGGCCCGCCTGCTTCGTCAACTCCAAGAACATTTGGGTAAACACACATTACTCCACCATGCCGATCATGAGCTCCAACAACTCCGACTGTTCTGCCCTCGCCAATACTTCACTGGCGCCTTGAACACCTGGCAATCCCCCGAACTATTTGAACCACTTCCCTACATCACTGCCGCCAACATCCATGACCACCTGGCCGCCACTGTCCCCCCCATCCTGCGCACCCGCTACAAGTGGGGTTTCCGAAAAGATTTCAACATCCCCTACGGTGTTGTCCATCTCAAAGAGAAGAAGCACTGGCAAAAAGGCCGTACAATTATATCCTACTTCCAATCACTAAGCGGCAACTTGCTACGCATCACCAGCCGCGCCCTGGACATTATCCTCCAACACCTCTACCCTCAGCATCCAGGCCAAATGTCCATTCCTCAGCTTTGGCGCCACTTTCACAGTTACCTCACCCAAACCCCACTCGACATCTCACTGCACGCCACCAACGATGACCTGGTCGGCTTTTTCAACTCCGTCCCCCAGCACCGACTCATCGATGCAGTCCACTCCCTTGTCCTCCATTGGCAACAACAGCAATCCACACACACCTTAACGGTGGATGTCCAGGCCACAGGCAATCCTTTCCACCACTCACACATTGGCAGACACCATCGGAAACACCCTACTCAACGCACCATCCAGACTTCCGACATCACCACCATCGTGGCTTTCGCCCTCAACACATGCATTTTCCGGGCTTGCAACAACACTTACAAACAAATCCGAGGGGCCGGGATTGGATCCCAGCTCTCTCCAGCCCTATGCAACGTTGCTATCACCCTCATTGAGCACTCCTGGCATCAGATACACAACAACCTCCTTCAACACACGGACCTCCACTTTACTTACTATCGCTATGTTGACAACCGTTTCATTGTCCACAACGAACATTTCCTTCAGCACCCGGCTATCCAAACCCTTATCCACCACAATTTCTTTGGCGACCCTGTGGAACTAGAACCGGTGGAGGATTTTCATCTCCTCGGTTTCAACATCGACCTCCCACAACGCACTATCACCTACATGCAACCTTCTCAACCCTGGAAAATCCGGGATTCCACAACCGCCGGGAGCCAGCGCTTGGCTCTATCAGGCCTCCAATCACGACTCCACACCATTCGAAAATACACATTTCCACCCTCCAGCGCTGACGCTGCTGCGGCCGAACTCGTGAACCTATATGTCCAAAAGGGGCATAACTACCACGCCTGCCACCGGTTTTTGAAAAAAGCGCCGAATGCGGCGACCTGTGTGTGTCCAACCCTGGACAAAGGGTCTTCCACCACCACTCTTTCCACTTTACATGGGCAGGGGGCCAGCGGCCGACAAGCAAACGCTGGCTAACAAAGCTATGCTTGTCGGTGGATGCGCAGTCTGATCAACTGTGTGTACCTGCGACCAACTTTTGCACAAGCTGTCCAATCTGATCGGTTTGCTTTCATGGTCCTTCATGCTACCAACCCCAAAACAGGTTTCTTTCAGCAGCTGAGCCGCCGATCGTCCGCAGATGTGCAGCGTTTGTTCAGCAGAGCGAGGGAAACTATGTTAAACAATTCAAGTGATCTGACCCAATCACCATGCCGTTCCACCGCCATCCTTCCCATCGGGAAATTGAACTAACTGAATACAAATTGTCGAAGTGTGTGTACACCTTGCCTCCTGGAGTGTCGCATCCTCCCACCTGGATGTAGACTTCCAAAAAGATCCAACAAGTTAGTGTTAGCTGTTAACTTTTCAATAAGCAACAAGAACCGTTTCACGACCACACACACACATATATATATATATAGACATATCACGAAAGCCAGCCGGTAATCTAGGGGAGCGAGCGAAGTGAGTGAAGGGGGTGTGGGGATGCGATGTATAGTGCATCATTAGCATCATGAGGGCCTCAGGAGGCAATGTAAGCCGTCTTCTACCAGGGTGGGAGTTCATGTCGATGAGAGGAAGGTGGAACAATGGAATGGAAAAGTTGTTGGAACTCCTGGAGAAAAGGGAGATGTCTCTGGTGGCGATTGAAGTAGTGTTCGACTAGGTGTAAGAGGGAGGCGCGCGTGTTTCTGAAGACGCTGTGAGGGCGGGAGGGTGAACAGCATGCTGTGGGGAAGGTGGAAGACAGACATAGCAAAGGAGGATGGGTAGGAAAAGAGGATTTGCGCTATAGGGCGCCCCATACTCAAGAGCCGGAGAGAGAACAGATTGCAGTCGCGGTCAAGCTTTACGTTGCTTGGGGGCGCGCTTTTTTTCTCCTGGTGGGAGCACTCAAGAGGCCACCCCCTATGGGATGCGGAGGTGGAAGATTTTTGGCTTTATCGGTGGAAAGGTCTAGTCTAGTTGCCGGACATATGGGGTCCATCTGTTTAGGGCAGGAGAAAGAACAGATTGCAACGCGCAAGCGTAGGTTTTGAGTTGCTTGGGGATGCCCTTTTTTTTGTGGAAAGGTCTAGTTGGCGCACGCAAAAGGGCACCCTATATGGGGTGCATGATGCCATCGGCCAAAGGCAGGAGAGAGAACAGATTGCAGCGGTTTTGAGTTGCTTGGGGGTGCCCGTTTATATCGTTGGAAACGTCTAGTTGCCGGACTCAAAATCTTTGCCCGATGTTAGCCAATCACTTCATCTTGCACGCCCCAGGGGTTGCAATATCAACTTCACCACTTCCGGCTACTCTTCGTCCACTCTACCCAAATATTATTGTATCCTCACCAAAGCCTGCCCATGGCCTCGCCCATGGCCCCCCCACAGCCATGATTAGCAACACGCACCAGGCAAGCGACCCTCACTTCCTTAGGGGTGCCCTTTTTCACTTCCAAAACGCTCCTGAACCAGGATGCAAAAGGCCCCCCCCCAACACCTGTATTCTACTTTTTGTTTCTACCCCCTATCAGTGTGGCTGCGATGTCCACTTCATCCCATAAAAGTATTCCTTGCCCGATGTTACCCAATCACGCCATCTTGCACGCTCAAGTGGCTGCACTATCAACTTCACCACTTCCGAATACATCTTTGCTCCATGATTCGCAACACACAGCAGGCAAGCGCTCCTCACTTCCTTCAGGGTGCCCCTTTTTCACCTCAAAAACGCACTTGAGCCGGGACGAAAAAGGGCACCGCCCCCCAAATCTTATGTATTCCTCTGTAGCATTTTGGTTGATTATGCATTTGTGTGCAACATAATGCTTGTAATTTTTTGTTTGATTGTCTATACTAAACCAGGTTTCGACGCCACAAGACGCCTGTGGGTGGGAGATGTGCGGCGCCGCTTCGCTCCTTTCACATCCAGCGACAGACCTTCTTCAAATGCACCAGGAACTCTTGTCTTGTGATATCGCCACCGGCTCTGAGGCTTTTCCCTCCACAGCGAATGCGTGCAAAGAAGCATAATGAAGCAGCAAGAACAGACCAAGAGAAAGGCCAAAAAACAGGGTCCAAGGTGCATGACAAGTCCAAGAATACAAATGCAAATGAAAAATGTCAACAGTGAAAACAGAGACCGCACGGGATCAGACGGAGAAGGCACACGGGCAAAACGCAACAAAATCACACACACAAATTAGACAACAACGCATCTACAGACAAACGCCGCATGAGGGAAAAACCTGCGAGCCAATGCGCGACTGCCGGTTACGTCCTAACACATCTACGACACGACACCGAATGAATTGATGGGATGCATCTTCAAAAATAGAACACATCTCAACACATCGTCTTCAGAACATGTAAAGGACAAACAACATAACAGCATTAGCCCCCCACCCTTACCCCCCATAGGAGCCTGTGGCGGATATGTGGAAACACACTGAAGAATTCCACTATGGTGGGCTTTCACATATCCGCCACAAGCGCATGATGGCGTTATGGGCAACTACCTGTATCAGTATCAGTATGAGTGAACCTCTTCGGGCATTGTAAGCGAAAGTATGAATTCAGCCTTTGGCTGACAAACAAGATTGGGTACATCACAGATGAATTCAAGATTTTGTGTCCTTCGTCAGTGGTTCTGTTGCAAGCTTGCTTGCAGTTTGGGACATTTGCGTCTTTGAAGATCAGAGATGGCTGGCTTGGACCATAATGTGCGAAAGGAACTTTCCTGTCATGCTGATTGCGCGCAAGCACTAAGGTCTAGCGTTTGCGCACGAGCTGAAGAGCCCATACTGATCCATGCGCGGGCCCAGGAATGAAGGTCTTGTGCTTTTGACTCCAATTTCCAGTCAAGTCTAGTCTAAGTAGTTTGAATGCATTTTTGCAGTTCTTCCACCCAACCCATGAAACTGAAGGCCCATCAATATGCCTATGAGTGGTTCACTTCTTGCTTGGGTTTGGTTGTTGGATGCTCCAATGCCAATACATGTGTGGCGTCGCATCGTTTCAATACAAGCTTGGTTGGAGCAAATTCCCAAGATATTTTGAGTCGTTTTGCCCCTCCGCTGGTGCAGAATCCTCCAAGCCATCCTTGTGTGGCAACGCAGCTTCATTTGCTTGTAGACTATTTGGACTTTGTTCAGTTTTCAGTTCCATCCCGACATTGGATGACTGCGTGTCGAAAACTAGACTCCAAAAAGTGGTATGGCCGTATGGCATACTGGGCCCGCGTAGCGCCACAGCGACAACAACGACAACAACCGCGTCATGTTGACAAGTTCACATCCATACACTTATATAGGCTTATATATAGATGCACATTGCTTTGTTGAAGCACCCTCTTCTATCTAAAGGTGGAATTGGCAACTTTGACTCAGATAAATCCAACAGGACCCACTTACGCAATTACAACCCCGTTTGCTACATGTAGATCCAAGCATCTCTGCTGCAAGTCGCCTTTGCTTGTCTAAAGATGTCCTCTTCCATTCGCTGTAGGGCCGCTTATGGGGAGCAAACATAGCATGCATTGTCCAAATCTGCTTTTATGTAAATAATTGTCCTGCATCTTGACGAGGCATCGCTTTGACCTGAAGACGAGGGATACCGTTTTCCAAAGTAATCATCTTGAATCATCTTGGCAATAAACATTCTCCGAAGTCTCCGACCTGTTTGTGGCTTCAACTCGTGGTACTCTGGTTGTTAATTGTGCGCACTCCAGTGCAGACTCAACATAAAGGTTTTTCTCTGACTTATTCCTTGTACACTTCACTCTACTCTCTTGACTTGCAAGGCTCTCTTGGGTTCCATTGTCTCTAATTCATCAATGCTGGATACCATACCACAGCAGCAGCGCTGCTGCAGCTGCAGCTAGAACTCAGGAAAGAACAAAGGAAGAGGACAGATTGTTGTGTAGAGCTTTGGGCAGGCTGGGGTGCACAAACATCATCACAACTCCCATGTCACATTTTGGCTCAAGAGCCAAAACTGGACAGGGGAGTTTCTAGCAAGGTGTCGGAACACACTGTCATTCGAAGTGTGAGTGACACACTTGTTATGACAAGGCGCCCCGGGCTCCGTGTTGCTATGTCCACTGAGGTGCCGCATCTGGCATCGTGGCGATTGTCCCTCTCTACGCGCATTCGGCGAGTGACGCCGGTGGATGGGGCGAGTGACGCCACCTAAACTTTCGAGCCCATCGAGTTTTTCACCGATGGATTGATGCTCCAGGCTTTCAAGCCCGTCGACAACCAACCGGCTGGTACCTTGAGCGTCCAACCATCATGGAGGACCTGGCTTTGTTGGGGAGACTTGTGTTTCGTATGAAGTTCACCAGCCCACACTGCTGCCCGCTTTCTGCTGATAGTGAGTAGATCGCACCTTTGCAGATGGAAGCAAAGACCCTGGTCCACTTCGGTCTGAAGACTTTCCTGAGGGCCTCGTGACGCCCGTCGCGTTGAGCGAGACAGCCAGGCCTGTCGTTTTCGCAAATTTTTACGCGCGAGGAAGACACTCTGCTTTGGTCTTCTACCACCACCTTTGGGACAGGTCTATGCCGGGCTTCTCCTTAGATCTGGCTGTCACATCATTTAATTGATACTCCCGCCTGAATCCACTGAACGCGGCGTCTGAGCGGCACCTTGCATGGTGAGTCTGTACTTTGACGATGCCTCCACTGCAGACAGGGCATCCAGCAAAGGCTTTGGGCGTTAAGCATCTTCAATGAACTGCTTGGGGCGCCGCTTGCAGAAGACAAACCCTTCCTGGCCTTGCCGTGCCAGGCGCGTACTGCCATCATTCGAGTTGGCCATGCGTCTTTTTGGTTGCGCGAGAAGCTCCACACAAGGTCGTTGGCGTGATCACTAAGGCCCGCGCTGACCAGGCCATACTACTGGAACTTGCTACTTCCTGGAACAGGGAGTGTATATTATATTGTCGGACGAGTTGCAGTGGCCTCCATGCGATCAAAGAATGCTAACGTTCAAAGGACAGAGGGTTAAGACACCAGCTTTGTGCCACTGCTTTGATGTTTTTGATGCAGTCTTGTCCGTGCACCCAGCCCGTGAAATCGACATTTTTCCTCGTGACCATCTCTCACTCATCGGCTGGTTGGCATGCGTCACCAGTCTCCTTCGGACAAGCTCTACAACGTGAGGACCGGGGGAGCGCAGTGAAGCTGCTTGAAGTTTTGATCGCCTTGGTGACAGCGCCTCATTGTTTTCGAGGCAGAAGACCCGGTACATCAACAACACGGCGGTGCTGATGTCTCTGACCAAAGGGCGATCTTCCAGTTCTGACCTCGAACGACTCGCCAACTTCCTGACGATCCTATGGTATCTCCCAGTGCAAACTGTGATTCGGCTGGGAGAATTTCTTGCGAACCTGGCTGCAACATGCATCCCTGGACTTGGGGATGGGGCAACCGGGGTGGAGGTTCCAGGATCACAGTGTTGATCAGGTGCCCCTACGAGCAGCTCAGGGCCGACCTACCAGCGCCTACCATTTAAGCAAGTCACGGGCGCGCGCCAACTACCAGAGCATGATGTACCCTGTTCCATGACCAGCAATGAAACGTAGCTGCTGCAGCTAGAGAAGACACAGGCTACATGATGGTGGGTCACCTTCACGTTTGTCAAGAAGACTTGCCCTATAGTTTCTTCCAGAACTAGTGGGCCGCAACTCTGCACGCGTCCTGGTCCTGTCGTCCTCCCTTGTCCCTGTTCCTTTTGTTGTTCCTTTCCTGGTCTGTGCTGGTCCGCTGGCCTCGTGGTCCATGGGTCAATTTTGGTCAAAAACACGAGGTTTGCGAAAAATAACCGCGTCGCTTGCTGAGTGCCCTTCATTGATGAAGCAATGGGTTGTATAGTTTTCGACGGTGATCTATTTTGTGGCGCCTTTTGGTTCTGATGGCTTTTGATGTTTTGTTCGCTCTGGGGGAGGGCGCGCTGCGACCTCCCCGCTAACCCCCCTCCAGCGCCGCGAAATCGGCGCTACTTTTGCCAACGCGCGGGCCTACCGCGACAGATTTTCTAAAGGTCACCCAGGCAGTTTGCGCGCGCTCGCCTAAGTATTTTTGATTTTGTGTTGCAAACGGTTGCAAAAGCTTTCATTGTCCTGTGGTGGATGAGCCCCTCATGGAGGGGCAGTAGGGTGTGTAGTTTTCGATGCTGATGTATTTTGTTGCGCCTTCAGCGTTTGGTGGCTTTTGTAGTTGCAACCCCGTTCCAGCCACGAAATCTGCACTTTGGCGAACGCAGTGGGCCTGCCGCGACCAACTTTTTAAAGGTCACCCCATGGCCTTTCCACACCAATTTTTGCGCGCCCGCGCGCCTAAGTTTGTTGATTATATGTGTTAAGTGCATCCTTTCGTGGTCCTTTTGGGTCGCGGAGTTCATACTTTTAGGACTTTTCCGTCTTTGTTTGGATTTTTCCATCCTTTGTGGTGTGCAAGCTTTCTGTTGGCTTTTGGTGGCTTTGGCCTTCGGGTTCCGGTGGCTTTTGGTAGCTTCTGTCGGCTTTTCGTGGCTTCATTCACTGATATGTGATATGGGGCATATACTCTAGTGGTATATTCATTCTTTTTACTTGTATGTATGTATGTATGTATGTATGTATGTATACATATTTTTGAGAGCGGGGGGCTGTGAGGGTGCAGTTTTCTTATTGTGTTCTAAAAAGTGTTTGGTATCATTTGATGCTCAAGATGTGCAAAGATGCTTGTTTTCACTCTAGGGCAGAAGATACCACTCTACTCTAACATGGGGCCTGGGTTTTGGTTTTCCCAAAATTTTAGGTAAATGCTTCAGTGGTAGCCCCTCTCCATATAAACACATCATATATATATAATCTATTCCTGCTCTCTCTATATGAACAAATATAGTAGGTTTTCCTGAATCAGGGTCATTTTATTGTTTGGGAAGCAGAAAGCAGTCATTCAGATGGTTTTGAACAACATATTTAGGAAAGAAGCAGACCATAAAAGTGTCTCTAGATCTCTGCTTATAATTATGGTTAGATTTGGAAAGATTTTATATAGGCGCTTTTATGTTACAAAAGATTCTCTATAGATCTCTGCAGATAAGCATTTTTTGATTTAAACAACTATATAGAAACCTTGTATGTGAAAAGCTTTATTCTAGATTTCTGCGGGTAAGAGCTTGGCAGTTTCAATCTTTTCCTCTGGACCTCTAGGAAAGTAGATATCCCTTATATGTGTGTTTTCATGAAATGAAAGCTATTGAAAGAAAAACATATTTATTGATATATAGCATGCTTAAATTGACATGACCATTTTCAGAGATCCAGAGGAAAGCTTTTGACATGAACGCTTTTATATATTCTTATTGTAGAAATGATTATCCCCAGAGATCTATGAATTGGAAGCTTAACAATTTTAATATGTCTATATTATTTCCAGTGATTACTGTAAATAAACAAAATCTAACTATTTACTTCAAAAAAGAGTTTAGTCTTGTTCCCAGCACTCCCAGGGCAAATTTTTTCCCCACATTGTTGTGTGGGGTTCTTGTTTTTTTTGCTGCACCTCCTCGCTCGTCCTCCGCCCTCCTTCCTCCTTCCTCCTTCCTCCTCTCTAACTACAACCTCTCTCACACAACATCTACACGCAGACAACATCCCACACACAACGTCTTGCATACAACATCACTCACACAACATCTCTCACAACGACATCTCACACACAACACACAACATCACTCACGCAACATCGGATGCCAAGGGGTCGGATGACAAAACATCACTCAGAGAACATCCCACACACAACGTCTCACACACCACAGCACAC